CAGTTAGATGATTTCTGGAAGGCCTTCTATTTGGCCAAGGTGTAGTCCACAAAGAATGTAATAAGGAAAGCATATGCAATGCTCCTCTTTTTTTTAATAAATCTATTCTTGATTTCGATAAAACACAATTTACAGAAAAGTCTTTTTCCTACAGGACATGATTTATAAACCATTCAGCTGCAATTGGGAAGAGCTTCAGCACCATTCCAGATTCATCTGTTGGCAATTTTTGAGTTTTTATTTTTATTTTATTTATTTATTTTTATTTTTATTATTATTTGTTTTGTTTTGTTTTTCAAGACAGGGTTTCTCTGTGTAACCCTGGCTGTCCTGGAACTTTCATTGTAGACCAGATTGGCTTCAAACACAGAGATCCATCTTCCTCTGCCTCCTGAGTTCAGGGGTTAAAGGTGTGCATCACCACACCCATGTTTATTTTTTATTTATTTATTTTTTAACCTGTGACATAAAAAGCACAATTGCATTTATAGCCAACAACCTTTGAGCCCCTATCATTTATGCCCTAAAGTATATCACAATTGGCTGATTTGAAATATAGGATCCTTAAGTCTATTAAACCAAAATATGTGGGTTTTAATTTCAGCTCCACAAAGTTCCCTGGGCAAGTAAAGTTTGCTAAGCAAGAAAAATGAAGGCACTGAAATCTATATAGTTGTTGGAAGGACCAAGGCTATGACTTAGGTTTATGGTAGAGGTCCTTTCTCTCCTTCCTCCATGTGGGGGCTGGGCTGGACCTCAGGTCATGAAGGTTGGCAATAAACATCTTTACCCACTGAGTTTGTTCACAGGTGCAGGAACCTGGACTTTGATATATAGATTTTATTTCCTTGGCTAGGTATTATCTGATTCACACTACAACTTGGAGAAATGACACATAATTTTTATGCAATAAATGAATTACAGTGTCTAACAACATATTTAAGGATTTTTAAGGTTCCAAAAGAACATTTAAAGTTTCCTTGAGGCCAGCAAAATACTCCAGACTCAAAAAATCTGGTGTGTTTTGCTTAATCCTCAGAAATATTTTTAAACAGATTGGATTTCAAGCTTCATTAGCTTTCTCTAAAAAGCTTTGGCATGATTCACTCACACTTCATATAAGGGAAATGCTGTTGCTTTTAAAACAGCCACATAGGCGTTAGGGAGATGGCTAAGTAGTTAAGGCGCTTCATGCAAGTGTGAGGATTGGAGTTCAGGTCCCCTGATTCCACATAGGTGTCCAGTGGGACTACTGACCTGCTCATAATTCCAGCCTCAGAAGGCAGAGGCAGGGGATCCCCCAGAGCAAGCTGGCTAGCAAGATTAACCATATTTGTGAGCTTTGGGTTTGATTGAGAGACCCTGCCTCGATGAATACAATGGAAGACAAGGGGAGGATGATTCCTGACATTGACATCTGCACCTGTCTCCCCCGCCCCTCCCCACACCACATACACATGAAAATGGAAAAATAAATACAGCATTACTCTGTAATTCAAGCACTTGGGTGACTGAGGCAGAAGGAACTTTAGTCGGTGGCCAGCCTGATGGATACGGCAAGATCTTATTTCAAACAACAACAGACAAATAAAATGGCACTTTTGTGCACTGTGCATTTTCTTGTGGCGTCATTTAGCTTCTTCCTTTATCTCCTGCGTTGAGTAAACGATAGCTATCTTTAGAGCACTTACCAGATTTGGAGGCAGCTTTCCCCCGTCAGAGTACACGCGTCCCATCAGGAGGCCTGCGTGCCCGGGTTTTCCTCTTCTGGAGACTGGCATAGGCTTACAGCCTTAGCCTTCTTGGTCAGCTCCTGTCAGCCTTCCAACTGTTTCATCCGATGGTAACTGTTGGATTTCACCACTGCTTTTTCGATTACTGAAATACATGCGTAGATGCTCCTCACTTGACAGTGGATTATGTTGCCAACAAACCAAACTCATTAGAACTCGAAAATATCAAGCCCAAATGCATCTAATATACCTAATCTACTGAACATGGTAGCCCACCCTAGCACTTAAGCATGATCAGAACACGTTCTGAGTACACAGTTGGGCAAAATCATTTACTACAAAGCTTATTTTATAAGAAAGCAGAGAATATTCTATATTATTTACTGAGTACCTGCATAAACAAAAACAAAACAACAACAAAAATAAACTGGCAACAAAATCCACTCTAAGGAACTGATGGTGTTTTTCCTAGGGTGACCGTACGCTGACTGGGAGCTTGCTCACTGCCGCTCTTGACCTCACAAGAGCACTGTCGTGTCTCAAGTCCAGAAGATCAGCCTTCAGAATCTGTTGAATACGAATCACCTTCATGTCCCTGGAAAGTTGAGAAGCAGAAGCCAAATCATCATTAAGTCTAGGACCCATCTATATTCAATAGAGAAAGGAAATGGCCACAGTAATGATATTTGTTTTTCTTTTTTTTTTTTTTAATTTTATGATCATTGCTGTTTGGCCTGCATGCACGTCTGCGTGGGGGTGTCAGAAGCCCTGGAACTGGAGTTACGGACAAGTGTGAGCTGCGAAGTGGGTGCTGGGAATTGAACCTGGGTCCTCTAGAAGAGCAGCCAGTGCTCTTAACCACTGAGCCATCTCCCCAGCCCCAGTAATGGTATTTCTAATACAAACTTAATATTATAACTGGGAATTCCTGTAGAGTTTTTAAACTTATATTTGTTGGCTTTTTATATATACACCAGAATAAGGAATCTGATCCCATTACAGATGGTTGTGAGCCACCATGTGATTGCTGGGAATTGATCTCCGGACCTCTGGAAGAGCAGTCAGTGTTCTTAACCTCTGAGCCATCTCTCCAGCCACTTGTTGGCTTTTTACTTTCATCTTTTATGCACAAGAGCCTTGTTGTTAATGACAATATAATTATCCATTTGCACACACACACACACACACACACGTATGCAGATGGGCATGTTGAATGTGCACATGCGGAGGTCAGAGGTCAATGTTAGGTGTCTTCCTGTCATACACACTTAGTGTCTGAGACCTGATCTCTGAGTGAACCTGGAGTTGGCTGTTTGGGCCACACTGGCTGTGCAGCCAACCCTGGGATCTGCCTGGTTCTGCCCTCCCAGTACAGGGCTTACAGATACACGCCATGGCACTCAGCTTTTATGTGGGTGCTGGGATCTGAACTCAGGCCCTCGTGCTTGTGAAGCTAACACTTCACCCACTGCACCGATTCCCCAGCCCACAAGTATATCGTAACTAGTTTCGAGATGGCACCGTTGCCTCCAACAAGCTTCAGGACAAACTTGATGACATCCTCAGACCTCAGTTTGCTCCCAGAATATATTCCATTAGTATTTATCCTTAAAATACTCCCTTCTTTACTTCATATCTCTTTAGTTATATCACTTTATGTTACCACCTCGGCAATAAGGCCCATTTGTCTCAATTCTTTCCCTTCAGTTCCAGTGTGGTTCATTTGTTTCCACTGGCATTAAAATTTTACAGATTTTTTTTTCAAATTTTATTTGTAATGAAACATGTAGATGTTTACATGATCAAACTGTATAAAGGACATATTTGGTCTCCCTGCATCCCTTCCCCACCACCCATTCTGTTCCTCTAGAAAGGCATTCTTGTTTTGGTTTATATACTGTATCTTTAAAAGATTTTCATTTGCCGGGTGGTGGTGGCCGCATCCCACATCTTTAATCCCAGCACTCGGGAGGCAGAGGCAGGCGGATCTCTGTGAGTTCCAGGTCAGTCTGGTCTACAGAGTGAGTTCCGGGACAGTCAGGGTTGACACACAGAGAAACCCTGTTCTGGGGGGGTGGGGGAGGGAGAAAGGAAAGGTATTTATTTCTGTTCACTTGAGGCGCTTTAGGCACTGAGTGGAATTGGGCTTTTGATAGTTATAGGTTAGTCCTAAGATAAGATGGTCTTTGTAAAAACAAGTTGTTTTTTTCTCCCCACACTGCTTCCCCATCGAAGCCTTTTAAAATCAAGAAGCTGTTTTCTGATTGTTCTCCGTAGCCTTTTATCAGCTTGACTAAATTATGCTTGCTTAATAAAGAAATTTTAATGGTTAGTAAAGAAAATTAATTTAAAAATTAATACTATGTACACAGAGAACCTAATTATTAGATTCATAATCCCACAGACATATGTGTTTGTAAGAGGAAAGTTTTTTACAGCTATATAGCAAAATGTTGATGCTATTTGCTTAGGTTATTTCATTTTTATCTTTACATATATTTTTCTAAGTGATAACTTTAAACTAGAAATATACTTCCTTTTGTGTAAAAAGATGGAATAGGGACTTGAGAGATGGCTCAGGGGTTAAGAGTACTGGCTGCTCTTGCAGAGGACCCAAGTTCAGTGTCCTGAACGCATGTCAAGTGGTTCAGCACCAACTCTCCCTCCGGCTCCCTGAGATCCAACACCCTCTTCTCCCTTCCACAGGTCCCTGCACTCAGCCCCTCCCCTCTCCCCCCCATACATGTAACTAAAAAATAAGAAAAATGTAAAGAAGATGAAACAAGGCAGGAGGAGAGATTTCATACGCTCAAGGCCTATGTCCTTCAGCATGACCAGGAAGAGGAAGAAGAGGAAGAGGGAGGAGGGGAGGGGAAGAAAAAGGGGAGGTGGAAAGGAAGAGAAGATGAGATGGAAGAAGAGGATCATTTTAAAATGGCGTAAATTAGAATATTTTATTGTTTAATAGACACAAGGTTTTTGTTTGGCATGGAAAAATAATGGCAGCGGAAAGCATAGTGTGGTGGTTTTTACAACACAGCAAATGTACTCACGGTCACTGAGGTACACGGGTGAAATGGTTGGAGTCGTAATGAATATGTGTACTTTCCCACGGTAAAAGTAATAGACGTGGGAGTACTCCAGTGAGTGTCCTTCAAAGCTTGGCGACAAGGCTACGGTCCTGTTGATAGGGTGGAAACTTGAAGAGAGAGGGCTAGTGGCAAAAGTTAGGACGTTAGATGTGCCCCGGGAGGGAATTTCAGAGCTCTGTGCCCCTGTCTTTTTTTTTTAAGCTTCTTGGCTGCCATGAGCTTCACTTCTGCTACACTTGCCCATCATGATGTTTTGCTCCAGACCCGAAAGCAATGGACCATCCAACCATGGACTGATAAACTTCAAAACTGTGAGTCAAAGCAAGCCCTTTCTCTTATAACTTGACTTGTCTCGTGTTTCATCACAGGGATGGAAAACTGACCCAGTAGCGAGTACTCTTATGACAGATCAACCTTAGTATTCAGTGGAACGTATTAAGTGCCATGATCTTGCCATGTTCAGTTATATCCTTTGGCCGAGTACCCAAACCATTATTCCTTGCTTGATACATAATAAAAATAAATATAAGTGGTAGATTGTTTACTTAGCTGGCTCAGTGGTTAAGAACACTGGCTGTTCTTTCAGAGGTCCTGAGTTCAATTCCCAGCAACCACATGGTGGCTCACAACCATCTTATAATAAGATTTGATGCCCTCTTCCAGCACACAGGCATACATGCAGAGCACTCATACATAAAATATAAATAAATAAAATTATTGAAAAAAAAACTCGCAACTAAGAAAGTTTTATATAGTTAAAGACCACCTACTAAAGGGCAAGTCGGGGTTTGACTTGAGGTCTGTTTGACGCCAGACCACTGTCTCTGACCACCTTGCTTTCCAGAGTTTGAGTACACCCACTCTATACTGCCATATGTGGACATTTTTACACACCACCCGGTGGTTATAAAAAATTCTTTGCTAACTTTCCAGCTATGAGTTTACGTAAGGAGTCAGTTGTGTTTACTTTCCAACTTTTGAGTTTCTGCTCTGTTTTTAAAAAAGACTGATTAATAGGGCTTTTGTGCAAATTACTCTCGTTATTATTAATTTTCCAGTCTTGTGAAATAATATGAACGATCCTCCTTCAGTTTGGTTAGAAATGGAGTCAGCATGAAGAAGCAATCTACGATGCATTTTGAACACAGTTTTCCAAGGTAAAATCGACAGCTTTCTAGAAATGCTGGAGAAAAAAAGACACCCAATTACCTTCCTGAACTCACTTCAGAGTCTGGCGGTGAAGACGGGGTTTTGAGTTATGGCCATGTTTAAGAAGCATGCCCCATGCATTACCACCTGTTTGGAAGCTTAAAGGAATACGTTAATAGTCGGTCGTTGACTGACTCTAAGACCCAGTCTTCTTCCTCAGACTCTGCATTGCCTAGGAGTGCGTTCTGGATGAATGTTGGCAGGATTTTGACCTTTAGCATCTCCTGGTTTTGTTTACAGTTCCTGCAAAGATCCTGGACCACTCTACTCCTTTAGACACCAGTAAGAGTTTGGATTCCAACCCACATGTGGTCTTGTTCCTAGGACAATTAACAGGAGCCTGCTTCTTTGAGCCACTTGAGCTGACCTTTCAGAAACTGGAGGTTCACACTGGGAGGGAGCTACACAGGAATCTTGCTCACAAGACGGGAGATCGCTGCTGTTATTCTCCTAAATAAAATGCCATGATGAACTCATTTAAAATGAAGAATGTTGTTTTAAGAGCTGTCAAAGCAAAGGGAAATTCAGAAGCACTGAAAGCTCACTCCTGAAAGGAATGTGAAAAACAATTAAACATTGACAGTATTAGGGGCCAGCAAGATGCTCAGGAAGTAAAGGCACGTGCTGCCACACCCCGTGAGCCACACCCCATGGCCTGAGTTTGATCCCCAGGACCCATGTGGTAAAAGGAGAAAACTGACTCATGTGAATTATTTTCTGACCTCTACATGGGGGCTGTAGCACATGCATGTACACATATATTACATAAGCAAATACATACAATTTAAATTTTTAAAAGATTAAAAAAAAATTTAAATTCTGTATATGTGCGTTCTCTGTGTGGGTATGTGTGCCTGAGTACAGTCCTTTCAGAATACAAAAGTGGTTGTTGGATCCCCTGGACTTGGAGTTACGGGCAGCTATGAGCTGCCAGATGTGGGTGCTGGGAATTGAATTTGAGTCCTCTGCAAGAGCAGTAGGCACTCTTGTGTGTGTGTGTGTGTGTGTGTGTGTGTGTGTGTGTGTGTTTCGAGACAGGGTTTCTCTGTGTAGCCCACTTGGTAGAACTCACTTGGTAGCCCAGGCTGGCCTCGAACTCACAGAGATCCGCCTGCCTCTGCCTCCCAAATGCTGGGATTAAAGACGTGTGCCGCCACCGCCCAGCGAGCAGTAGACACTCTTAACCATTGGGCCTTCTCTCAATTTACATTAAAAAAAAACCAACCCACCACAACTGGCCAGTATTAACTACAGTTGCTGAATGTGGCCGCACACCTCTGTATTTCTCATGTTTGGGAGGTGGAAGCAGGAAGGTCAGGCATTCGAGGTCAGTCTCAGCTACATAGCAAGTTCAATGCAGACCTGGATAATATGAGACCCTATCTCAAAAAAACAACAAGACCATAGAGAAACCCTGTCTTGAAAAAAACCAAACAACAACAAAACGAAACCCAAACAAACAAAATCAACCACATTTTTAGTATGAGGACAAAAAAGGGGAGTTTATGCCAAGAATTTGTCCAGTCATGCAGAACCAAGCATGCAAGTAACTCAGTTAATCAGCGTCAAATGAGGATAACAAAACAGGCCTTTCATAAACACACATAGGATACATAAAAGTCGGGTGAAATAAAATTTTAAAAACCCCATAGGCTTGACCCTCTTACAGTTCAAATGATCTGACGCTGAAAATATTTTCCACACTCCTAGTCAAGACTCTTTCTGAGAGCGTTACATGGTTGTCTACCGTCCATAACCAAGCTCCAACCTTTGAACAATGGCCAGCACATTCTCATTTGAAAAGGCTTATCATCCTATTTTGAATGTTACACATCCTTAAGGAACCATTAAAAGACAGGCACAGAGATTAATTAATAAACACACATGTAATATCCCATGTCCTTGTCAATGGAGGGCAGCTGTGGAACAGAGGGTCTAAAACTGAGGATAACTCCCACAGCATGTGTATTTCTAGGTAAAATATATTTGTTAATTGTAAATCTCTTCCCTATTTTTATCTTTATTTATACCAGGGTTTCTCAACCTCAATACTACATTCACTTTGGACTGGATAATTTTCATATAAATCTTATAAATGATGCAACCAGTATTTCTGGCTTCTGTCAATAAATGAACAAGGCACCTCCCACAACGGTGACAACCAAATACATCTGCGGATACTGCCAAATGCCTCCCCCTTGAAAGCCACTGATTTCTACCAATATTAAAATGAGTTTGGCTTTGCAGCTCTGCACACCCCAGCTGGGTGGAAGAAAAACAGTCTAAAAGAGTGCAAGAAGCTGGCCCAGGACAAAGAAAATTTATGGCAGAGAATCTGCAGTGTAGATAATCAACAAGTAATTCATGGGAATTAAATATAGGCCTGGGGGCATCTTATTAGAGCCAGTTGGTAGACAGTGAGTGATCGAGGTTGATATAAATACCGGACACCGTATAATCACCTTCCGGGCACCAGAGCCTGGCCACTAAAGAGCAAATCAAGGATTCCATTTATAGAACTGCATGACTTGATACACATTGGGCAACTGAGCGCAGGCTTGTTTTTCGGTCGTTGACAGATGGGCTCACAGAAAGGCTGCCAGACGCTTGGGCCTTGCAACCAATCTCATGAAGCATATTGGGCCGGAGGAAGTTATAAAGGTGATGACTAAGGAATTCAAGAGGTCATCACTTCTAACTTAAGCATAAATTTGATAAGGTTTCTGCTGTCTTTAGCTCATTTTATATGTGTATATATGTTTTGTGGATTAAAAACGTATTTCGACAAGAAAGTCTTGGGCTTTGGTTTTTACTTTGAGACAGGGTGTCATCATGTCACCCAAGCAGGCCTCAAACTCACTAAGCAGTTGAGGGTGACGCTAAACATCCTCCTGTTTCAGCCCTGACTGTTGGGATTCCTGGCTTGGGCCACCCTGAGGCAGTTGCTTGAATGATGACAGCCTGGGGGCTTACGAATTGCTACTCTGAAGCTAAGTAGCACAAGATCCAAACCTAGGCTGGACGTAAACGTCAGCGGTAGTGCACTTGCCGAGTATGAATGACACCCAAGGGCATGCACCTGCACTGGAAAAAGAGAAAGAGAGACATTAAATCTCTCCTTCCAGTCACTATTTCCTCCAGGAGTAACCACTAGGCTGGTTTCAGCAGCACCAATGGCATTTGCCTGCTTTGTGTTTTATGTAAGTAGAATAATACAACATGTGCTATTTCATGTGTGGGTTCCTTCCTTCCTTGACATTCTTTTGTGAGACTCATCCAAATATAACTAATTTGTTCTTTTCTTGTCACTATTTCGGCGAACTAATATACCACAATTAGTTTCTCTATTATTACGTTGTTCTCCATTTGAGATTATTGAAAGTAGTTATTTAGCTGGACCTGGTAATCCCAGCATCCAGGAGGCAGAGGCAGGCAGATCTCTGTGAGTTCCAGGCCAGCCAGGACTATGCAGTGACACACACACACACACACACACACATTAAAAAGGAGCCCCAACAGGGCAAAAAAGTGCATTCTTTGGGAGAATATGTTGAGTCTGTTTTTGTTCTTCCATTAGCTGTACTATGTAGCTAGAGTTTTCCTGCCTTGCCCACAGTCAGGACAAATCTTTGTCACCCGCCAGTCCCACAGCCGCTCAGACCCAACCAAGTAAACACAGACTTATATTGCATACAAACTGTATGGCC